TAGATATACAGTTGCATTCTCTTAATAAATAGAATGATTTGTTCTAATGGTGTTTGTACATAGGATCTCAAGTCCACATCTTGTATAGCAATTAACCACTAAGAAGAATATATGCAGTGTGTTATTAGTTGAAACTGTACTTCCGATTTGATTTGAAACTGTCTCATTGCTGTTTATCAATAAAATTTTGGAAAAAAAAAAAAGTACATTGGAACTGGGGAGATAGCGCCATGGTCTAAGCGCCTGCCTCACAAGAGCAAGGACCCAGGTTTGATCCCCAGTACCACGTGCCCATGCTGGCCACTGAAACTGGGCATGGTGGTGCACACATGTAATCCCAGCACTAGGGAAGCTGAGACAGGAGGATCACTATGAGTCTGAGCTGTGTAGCAAGATCCTGTACCAAATAAATATTTTTTTAAAAAGTATATTCTATTATCTCTATTCAATTCCATAATACACAGTAAAATAAAAAAAATATTTTGTTGTAAAATAGAAAAATGTTTAACTTCATTAGGAAAAGGGACATATATCTACCTGCTTGTACACCTGCCGTAAGTACATGATCTCCTCCACAGTTCCCAAGGATATCAGCCTAAACACTCTGACATCTCTGCACTGTCCAATCCTATATGCTCTGCAAAAGGAAACATAAAACAAAATTAACACTTTCAGTTTAAGCTAACAGTCAGTTTTCGAACACAAAAATGGAACATTTTAATTTAAAAATGAACACTTCATACTAGGCATACTATGTCATTTAGCAACAATGCAAAAATGCATATTCATATAAAGGCTAGTTATTAAGGAGAAAAAATTACAGAAAAAAATGTATACATTAACTTTCTTTTACCATCTTCACTTTCTAAATTCCTAAACTTTTCCTAAATTTAGGTTTTTCTTTTATGACACTCCATATGAATGGATTATTCCAAAATGATTTCTACCAAACTACTCTAACTGTAAACTAATCCACAGAGACAGAAAGCAGACTAGTGGTTACTGGGGATAAGAGGTGGGGAGGAGTAGAAGGAAGGGTTACAAAGAGCAAAGGAAAAATTTGGGGTGTGATAGCTGTTTTCATGATCTTGAATGTCATGATAGTTTCACATTGGTAAATGTCAAAACTTACCAACTGTGGATTTAAGTACATTCAGCTTATTGTGGGCCAATTATAGTTTAATAAAACTGTATAAAAGTAAAAAAATAAATAACAAGGAGAAGTAGTTAACCAACTGGAAAGTCTATGGAGATGCAGATTAAAGTCTACCTCCACAGAGATTTCATTAAGTGGGTCTGACTGACTGCTGACTTGAACCCTGGATGTTCTGATATGGACCACACTACTAATTCCAAGTCTAACCTGACTTAATGGTCAACACAGCAATTAACCATGGGTCTGTTCCCTGCAGCTTTCATATGGGGCATTATTGAATGCTCTGGATCAAGCCACCTGTTACTAAAAGCCTGTTACAGCTGCTGGGGAAACTTATTTTCAAGTTTGTAAGATCACCATGTAAGTCATTATACTTGGTGGTCCTCATTCCGCCTCACAGAAAAAGACTTATACCAAAGGGCACTGTGGGTCCTGCAAATCTTTTATCCCCCAGGGAACCAAAAGCTCTTGTGAGGAAGCATAGTCTGGGATCAGCTGTGCATTCAATCCCAGCATGCACCTGGAGGGGGAGAAGAAGGACTTGCACTCACTTTCTCACAATAAATTTAGGCTCAAAAAAACCCAGAAATGGATCTAAGAAATTCTTTTTGGATGTCTGTTAGCCAAGTGCTTAGTGAAGAGAACAAATTATTACAATGCATCCCCTTCCAACTTTAAAAAAAAAAAAATTATAGTTACATTGTTCCTACGCTTCATCAAGGAAATAAAGATTTATAAATAATGGATCTTTTACCTTGTAGAAACAAATAATGAAGGAATGCCACACTATATGTGGGTTATAACATGTATGTACAACTCTCACTTTTTTTCTTGAGGAAGGGGAACAAGAGTGCATTGTGTTTCAAGGGAATAACTGGGAAAACAAAATACTAGATTTTGATGACCTAAACAACAAATATCCTAAGATGAAAGATTGGGCAGAGGCTGTTCTCTAGTCAAACTGAACAGATACTGACCCTGCCACTTAACGACTGTGAACATCAACTGTGAGCAAGTTACTAAATTCACTGTGCCTTGGATTTCTCACAAGTAAACAGGGTACCACAAGTGCCAATCACTTAACAATACTACGTGCAGGTAGTAACTAAGAACAGTTCCAGGTTCAAATAAACACAGCAAATATAGCTGCTATCTTTATGCTTCTAAAAGTATGTGTATAAAGTTGTACATAAGATGTACAATACCATAATTAAAAATAGAATTACTGACTAGTCTTTTGGCTTAAGCCTTTGTGTATAACTGCTTTTTTCAAAAATTAAGACTACTTTACTTCTTCTCAATTAATGATTTAACTTATACTGTCTCTATTATTTAAATAATAAAACATAAATTTCTGTATTTTTACCTTGTTTTTATATGATCTTGGTTCATTTATGTTCATTTTTAAAAAAAAAATTTAAGACTGTGGAGATAGCTCAGCAGCGCGAGTGCCTGCCTATGGAAGAGGGGACCTAAGTTTGATCCCCAGTACCCCATGCTGTGCTGCCCCCACCCTGGGCATGCTAAGCCAGCCACCAAGACCAGGTACTGGGGAGAACTGAAACAGGAGGATCACTACGAGTCTGAGCTGCATAGTGAGACCTGTACCAAATACATAAAAAAAAATTTAATTAATTTAAAAAGTCCAAGCCTCAGAACTTATAATGATCCATAGTGATTTCATTGGTATTTACTTCTACATAACCACTTTTTCTCTTGATTTTTCTGTAGCATAAGAATGGTTAACCATTTTTAAATTTATAGTTAAGTGTCATTAATGACATTCACACCTTTTGTGTAACCATCATGATCACGTACTTCAGAATTTTCATTTTCACAAACTAAAATTCCTTATTCATTACACAGTAACTCCTTCCAATTCTCTGGGTGACCATCATCCTACTTTGCATCTCTAGGAATCCGATTATCCTAGGTGTAATGTAACAGTAAAACTATGCAATAGCTGTCACTTTCTACCAAAATCAGGCCTCCTTTCCTTATCACTGACAAGAGGGAAAAAACAACTTTCAGTCTTTTACCAATGAGCACATTAGCTGTGAGTTTTTCATAAATGGTCTTCATGTTGAAGTAGTTTCCTTAATATTGTTTTTTTTTTTTTAATCATGAAAGTCTAGTCAAATACTTTGTATCAACTAAAACAAGCAATGTGATATTTTCTTCTTCCTTCATTAACATGGTAACATATAATGTCACTGTACTGACTGACCTTTGTAAGATGTTAAGTCATCCTTGCATTATAGGAATACATACTACTTATTGTCCTTTCAATATGTTTCTGATTTTGGTTTCCTGACATTTTATTGAGCAATTCTGCTTTTTTTTTTTTTTTTTTTTTGCGGAACCAGGGATTTAACTCAGACCCTTGTGCTTGCCAGGCAAGCACTTATTCTACTGAGCCATCTCCCCGGCCCCAATTCTGCATTAACATTTAAGAGGGCTAATTGCTCTACAGTTTTATTTTATTGTCTTTGACACTCATGTTGAGTATTGCTGGTATCACAGAATGAATTACAAAGTATTTCTCTTCAAATTTTAGAAGAGTTTGAGAAGAACTGCTGGTGATTCTTGTTTGGTAGGATTATTAGTAAAGTCATCTACTCTGGAGCTTTTCTAGGCAGAATTATTTGCTGATATACAACTGTTCATTGTAATCTCATAATCCTTTATATACTGCTGCAGTAACAGTAGTGGCAGCAATTTTCTCATTTTCATTTCTTTATTTTTTCCTGTACTATTTTTTTTGGGGGGGAGTGGTACTAGGAATCAAACTCAGGACCTCATGCTCTCTAGGCAGCTAGATCCCAGTCTCCCTCCTTTTTATTTCTGACCTTATTTATTTTAACTGTATCTCTTTTCTCTGAATCAATCTAGCTAAACTGTCAATTTTCTTGACATTTTCAAAGAACAATTCTTGGTTTAACTGGTTTCATTTTTCTATTTGCTAATCTTTGTTGGTCTGAGCTTTTCTGAGCTAATCTTTGTTGGTCTGTTTCTCTTTCTAGCTTTGGGCTTAGTTTATTTTCTTTTTTTTCTTCCCCAACTCCAAAAGGTGAAACATTAGCTAACTGATCTGAAATTCTCCTTTTTTAATGTAAGCACTGATAGTTAAAAAATTTTTCCTTGGCCCTTCTTTCACTTATCCTCTAAGTTTTAATACGCTGTGATTTCATTTGTTTTAAAGCATTTTCTAATTTCCTTTTTGAACCTTTAGTGGGTGAAAAGTATGTTGTTTAATTTCCACATATTTGTGACTATTTCATTTTTTCCTCTGCTGCTGATCCTAGTTTCAGACCACTGCAAATGGAAAAATACATATATATATATATATATATATATATATATATATATATATATAATGATTTCAATGTTTGTAAATTTACTGAGGCTTGTTTTGTGAACTAACACAGGGTCTGTCCTAAAGAATGTTCCACATGCACTTGAGGAAAACATTCTGTTATTTTCTGTTAGGAGAGTTCTGTTCATCTTTGCTGGTCTAACCTGAGCAGCGCTGTTCCAGTCCTTTATTACTGATCTTCTTTCTGAATATATTATCCATTACTGAAAATGGGATTCTAAAGTCTGCTACTGTTACTGTAGAACTGTTTGTTTCTCCCTTTAATTCTCTGTTTGCTTCATTTTTTTTAGAGTTAGAGTTCTGATGTTTGGTATAAGCATGTTAGTAACTATGATAGTTCATTGCTAAACAGTTTTAGTACACTCACAACAGAGCTGTAGTTTGTATGTTTCCCAGTCAGATAGCTCTAAACCACCAGTAGTATATGCATGACTGGAACAGTCATATTGAGTAGGTTATACCTGATGGGACAGTCATGCATGTACCATTCACTGGTGGTTCAAACCAATGAGAAAGTGTTAAATCATTGTATAACGTTTACATTTTTTATTCTAAGCTTTTAATTTAAAAACTATTTTGTCTAATATTGATACACCTATCTCTGTTCTTTTTTGCTTAATATTTGCATTGAATATCTTTTCTACTAGCTTTTCACTTTCAATCAATGCATGTCCTTAGATCTAAACTGAGTCTCTGATAGATAGCATACAGTTAAATAATATTTTTAAAATCTGTTCTACAATCTTTTATCTTTTGACTTAGGAGTCCAATCTACTGACATTTAAAGTAATTAGAAATAAGAAAAGACTTTTGTCATTATTTGCTTTCTCTGTGTCTCTTAATTTTTTCTCATCTCAATTACTTCCTCCTTAAATTCAGTTAAATTTCTTAGTGACACACTTTTATTCCTCTGGACTCTATGTATACTCTATAGATACTCCTTTGTACTTATCCTGGAAGCAATTACATGTAATACCCTAAGGGTATAACAATCTGTATGAAACGGATTATCAACTTAGCTTCAGTTGTATTTATAATGTCGATTTCTGTACAGTTCTAACCACATCTTTATATTACTGTTACAAATTATCTTTATATACTGTGT